TATGTATGCATGTATATATATAGATTAATGGGTATCCTTGTCATAGGAGGAGATTTCCTTCCTTGTCGCCTATATGGCACAATTCCCACCATTCTCATAAAGTAGGCACAAATCTCCACCAACTCACACTCCCTCTCCTACTTTATGGGTAGTTTTGGGATGCATATGGGTGAGCTGGAGCAATAAAAGAGACGAATTGGCTCTATCAAGTTGGGGGCTCAGAGCACTTTTCCCTAAATTAAAAGTTAATGAATTATTAAAGCTAATTGGAATAACGCATATGAATTGAGAGCTAACTAACAGCTTCGATTATTTGAGGGACTGATTTAGGCACTGTTTGGCAACCAAAAAAAGTGTCTTATCTAAGAGCTTGTGTCTTATTGACTTGGTCAATAAGCTAGTAGAGCTGTTTGGTGACCAAAAATAGGAGGAGATTATTTTAGAGATTGTGTCTTTTGCAAGTAGCTTTTGAAAAGCTACCTCAAGTAGCGTTTGTCTTTGGGAAGGAGCTGCCAATTTTTGTCTTCCGTTTTTGCCCCTAATAATTCTAATTTTATATCAATAATATTGCATGTCTTTTTTAGTCATTTAACAAACTTAAGCTAGTTGTACAGCTACTTTTGCCAAACAGCTCTAGTCAATCAGCTAGCTACACAGCTAACAGCTTTCAGCTACAATTTAACAGCTTTCAGCTAGCTGAGCAGCTTTCAGCTATAATCTCGCAGCTTTCAGCTAGTTTTGCCAAACAGAGCCTTAGGCATTGTTTGGCAACAAGAGATTGTGTCTTATCTAATAGACTGTGTCTTATTGACTTGGTCAATAAGCTAGTAGAGCTGTTTGGTGACCAAAAATAGTGGAGATTGTGTCTTTTGCAAGTAGCTTTTGGAAAGCTACTTCAAGTAGCGTTTGTCTTTGGGAAGGAGCTGCCAATTTTTTCTTCTTCCGTTCTTGCCCCTAATAATTCTAATTTTATATCAATAATATTATATGTTATTTTTAGTCATTTAACAAATTTAAGCTAGTTATACAGCTACTTTTGTCAAACAGCTCTAGTCAATCAGCTAGCTACACAGCAATCAGCTATCAGCTATAATTTCATAGCTTTCAGCTATAATCTCGCAGCTTTCAGCTAGTTTTGCCAAACAGAGCCTTAGAGATATAGCTATCAAGGAGCAATATAGGTTGAGCACACCATTTCGAAATATTAATAGGTTAGGGTGTTTTCTGAAGTTTACTATTTAATTTCCTATGCATGAGATCAAGATGAACGCATCTGACGGGTGCAAGTTGGGCCTGACAGGTGGGCCCCACTGGAGTGCCGTATTGCCAAAGGTGGGGAGCTTGACGTGCCGTTGCGTGAGCCAGCGAGGGTCTTGTTGCGCTTGCGTCAGAGAATCTTCACTGTAGAGTTAAATTAATCCGCGACGAGTTCGATGACGCGGACAGTGCGGATAGGGATCGTTTTCAGCCGAGTACAGACATTTGTCTACCTTTCTTCTAGATGTCCAAATCAGGGGTCAATTTGTCAAGTGAAATTTGGAGGAGGGTAGGAACCAAATGTTTAATAAGAACGTACGCAATGAATTGGTTTATTATAGATTTGCTTTCCTATTATTTCTAAGCAAACCCATCCAAACTTGACAATGTGCACCTACGTACGAATGTTAAGAGAGGGTGGGGCCTAGTTTCAGCTGATGCCCTTCAGAGTTAATAAAGTCCATAGATTGAGGACGAAAATTCCATTGAAAGGCTTTATTGTACAACAAGAATAATAGAACAAAAGCACAATATTTGTAAATTTCCAGTAAAGGTATCACATATCGGTCGAGATATCTGTTGGTGCTTGATTGGTCAAATCGATTACTTGCCACTCTCTTAACAATGACAGTTGGGTCCCTGATGTTAATAATATTATGGCGTCAATCATGTTCGACATGCTGGTTTGTCGAATGATGTGATTTGGACTATAGTGCAATATAGATGGTGATTTAAGACAATAAGAGCATCTCCAAGAGCCTCTCTATCTCATGTCCTTGAGTAAATTTAGGGAGTATGAGAGGAAAATTTGGCTCCAACAAGCTCCCTATAATGAAGACTAAATATAGAGCTTATGATTTGGTATTCCAAATCAAAGACAAGAAATGACTCACTATATTTAGTCTCAACATAAGCAGCATTGTTGGAGTAATTTTCCCCCATCCTACTCCATATATTTAGTCTAGGACATGAGATAAGGAGCCATTTGGGAAGCATTGTTGGAGTACTTGCTCATTATTTGACTCTCTATTTCCTAGGATGAGAGATTTACTCCTCAAATATAGGGAAAACCTAAGATCATTGTTGGAGATGCTCTAAGAGGAACAGTATGTAATTAGTTATGCCTTGAGTTGTGGTATTACGTCCTATTAACTGTAGCTATATTTTCAGGAAAGCTTTGGTTCTAAAGTCATGACACCACTAGAAAGAGTCACACGGATTCCTTAATTTGTGGTTAACCCATTGGAGTTGGCGAGCTAGTTGAGTTTTCCAAGTAATAATAGTCCTTTTTTTTTTACTTTCTTACGAAGTTTCTTCCTCATTTCCCCCGGCCAAATAGAGGGGGAAGCTTAATAAATAGTCTATCTATGTACGGTCAAATTATATCATTATCAAATTTGAAGTGTGATACGAAACTTCGCCATGAATCTAGACTACTCGAATGGGTTGATAGAGCATTCTTGTGCCAAGGCCCCACCAAGAGAGAGTTGGCATTACACAAGACTTTCAGGGAGTTGCAGAGATTTAGGTCTAGTAGAATTCTCTTTGAAACTTGGGGGCTGTTTGGATTTGTTTTTTGGATTGGTAAAAGGGAGGAAAGTTGTCAAAAATGTCAGTTTTTTGGCAGCTTTCCTCCAAAATCGCTTTTTATAGAGGCGATTTTGGGGAAAGCTGTCAAAAAGCTGACATTTTGCAGCTTTCCCCTGCTTTCCCCTTCCAAAAACCGGAACCAAACAGCCCCTTGAGCATCCATGTCCACGCGTGTATACAGTACAACATTGAGGCCCCGTTTGGTTGCAAAAGAGAAAGGCTGAAAGCCTGACAAAAGCTGACAAAAAGGGATTCAGCCTCTCTGAGTTGCAACCAAACGGGCCCTGAACAATTGGCCAGAGGATGGAGATTTTGTCACACCTTTTCCTTCCCCAAAACGCTCACTGTTTGGTTGTATGCTTTTACCATGTAAAAGGAAGGAATGTGTAAAAAAGTGGGTCCCGATGTCAGCTTTCATCACTTTACATTGTTTGTTTAAATTCTCTTTTTCATGAAAAGCTTACACCTTTTGATGAGGTGTCACCGAAAGTAAAATCACCAAAATTAGGAGTGATTTTGTTGGAAAGCTGACAAAATGTCATAAATGTGTCCAAAAAATAAAAAAAAAGTCAAAACCTTGTAAAAAGTGGTGAGGTGGATAACCACTTTCCATTTTATGTCATAAATACTCTAGTTTACATTATACTATCCAAACAATGTAATACTATTATTTTAGGATTCACAAAAATTCCTAACCAAACAATGTAAACACTCGAATGAAAAGTGGTGAGGTGGATAACCACTTTTTATTTTGTGTCATAAATATCATAGTTTCCTAAAGGCATCCAAACAGCCATCAAGGCCTTATTCATAAAGTCATGCCATTCAATATTAACGTTGGGATTTTCGGATTGGTTTTTTTTTCCCTGCTAACCCTTCGAATAGGAATTAGAGTTTGGTCGGTTTGAGTTTTTGTTTTCCCCTTCATTTTTATCCTGACTTGATTATGTATAGTTTTTCGAACTTTCCTTTAGTTTTCATCCGCCATGGCTGGAATCATCAACCATACCTAGTTTGCGGTTCGTTAATCCTTTCGATGAAACTGACCGACCCTCTTCGCATATCGAGCTGTCAATCCTTTCAATGAAACTGACCGATCCTCTTCGCTTCGCATATCGAGCTGTCCATGTATGTCACATACTTGCCAGTGCAATGTCCCCGGCATTGGATCATAAAAGGACACCCGGTCTTACAAATTTTTGCCTAAGAGAACGGTGATCATTGGTAAGTTCCTGCAGAGAACGGTGATCATTGGTAAGTTCCTGCAGTTGGTAATGACAAGAGGGCCTTTTGCTTTGCTTCGGGAACCTGTAGTAGAGCAATTACAACTTGATCAGCGGAAATAGCAACACATCAGTGCAGGTACCACAAATTTGAAGAATTTGGGGTCAGTTGCTTGTAGATCAGAGCCGCTCATCTATGAATCCCCAGCATACCCGTATCGAATCAACCACGGTAGGAAAATTTACCAGTAACAAATTTCTAGCGCTTCATATTTGCAACTGAATTTTGCACTGCTGAAAATTATAACAGTGAATAAGAAATAATTCTCATTAATCAGACTTTAACTAGGTATTTCTAGGCTCTCCATTAAAAAGCTGAGAGCCATACTTACCAAGATGCAATGTTAAGCATCTTGCCAATTGTTCACCGCAGCAGTTCATGACATCAACTACAAAATCACATGTCATTAGACCTCGACATCTATTGGAGCACCAAAATATCATAAAACTCACACAAATCCGTATACACAAGATAATCTGAACCTACTACAGCATAATTGCTTTATTGATAACCTGCAGCCTCTGCGGAAGTACTCCTAAAATCACCTTCGCGCAGGTATCAGGTATCGAACCATTACCACCCAAATCCCTAGCCTGACCATGCTCGAGGCGGCCCACCAGCAGCAGGACCGGAGTTCAACAAGTCAAGCAGTGCATTGAAGTCCACGGGATGCCCGGTCTCTGCCATCCTGTTGATCACACCAACGACCTGATCCCTTGGAAATCCCATGCCAGCTGCCTTCTCAATCATGTCAGCGTAAGGATGGCTTCGAATTAACTGAGCTCCAGGATGATGAAACCCAATATTGTTGCTAGGAGGAAGCTGCTGGTTCTGAAAGCCTTGGACATTGCTTGGTGGCAAGTAGCTTCCTGGTTGATAAGTCGGAACTCTGTTCCCATCAATACTGTAGACTGTGTTATAGCCCTGAACACTAGATTGTGATGGATAAGGTGCAGGGTTTGCATGACCACTAGCCTTGGCCGGAGCCATTCCGAAAGAACTTTGGCTCCCAGCCTGCTGCTGTGGTTGGCCTGGTGGTATATTAACTGAGCTTCCATAACCAAATGGCATTGGCTCAGGGCGGTTCATTGAGGATTGATGAGCTGTAGAATAAGTGAAGGTTTCAGGATTGGCCGATTGATGGGTATATGAAATATAAGTGGGTGGAGTTCGAGGCCTGACAAGCTGGGCTTGGGATGTGGGTTGAGTTGGTGCAGCAAGCTGTTGTGCAAACTGCTGAGGCTGTTGGTACTGAGGCAATGGCTGTGTGGTTTGTGCCTGGCTCACTACTTGAGGCTGCTGAGGTGGTGGCAGTGCTTGTGTTGAGTCCTGAATTTGTGGTCTTTGTTGTATATATTGCACCCCATGCTGCAACGCCTGGCTCTGCGGAGGATAAAATGTGACTGATTGGTTCGGAGCGTAACGGTCATGTGGAACGCCAAGAGAGGCAGTTGACTGCTGCTGCATTGGGAGCTGGTTAAGGTCAGGTGCTCTGATGGGAAGAGAGGTTGGTGCTGGGATTTGGTGGGGCAGAGCAAGGGCTAGGTGATGATTGGAGATTTCTGGTGCGTCATCATGCTGTTTGGGCTCAGGAACAGATGACGGTGCAATGGCCTCTTTGCTTTTTTGAGACTGGGTTGGAGAGGTAGATTCTTTGGGTGCTAGCTGGAGTTTTGTGAGCTCCTTCTGAGTTTCAGCAAGTTCTTGCTTGTCTCTGAGAATTTGAATGGATCTGTGAACCTGTCATGGCAACCACAACGTGGATTCATATGAACAATCAAAAACCAATGCATGAAAGGAAAGGCTGACTAATTTCAAAGGCTTATCTAAATCTTTTGTTACATATTGACTACATAATATAGCAAATAAGCTAGCAGCTACAGGAGCTTGTCTATGGCTGAGATAAAGCATCTCCACAGAACTAGGGTTAATCTCTTTCAGTGATGACCAACAAGATATATATGACAGGAACATTAAAAATGTCATTATAGCATACTTCCATCACAAGATCATACTGAAAATTAGTTTGAAAATTGTGAGACATCATCTCAAGTGTTTTGTAAGTAACCGTTATTATTCTCTTAAGAGCAAATGATGATAACAGCGGAAGCTAATACCCTTTCTCTCTGCTTTCTAATATGTCCATAAATGACATGGAAACCCACTGGATTTTCATCAATCATCCAAGATACAATTGTAAAATTGCCCTCTTAAGTTAATACAACAAACCCCCTGCAGTTAAGAAGAAAGAATAAGTCATGCTCTTCAATAACATGGTCTTGTTCCATGTCCATGTGTACCTAATGTAATGTATCAGGTTTGATATTCTTTAAAGAAGTGAGATATTAAATTTCCAAAAATAAGGGAACACTATCTGATCGAATATCTTAAACTATTTATATAGGCTGCAATATGTAAATGAAGGTTGTACAACTGCTGTCATAGAATTCATGCTTACATAAATATGAGACCAATCCAAGACACATAGAATAGGTTAGAAAAAGGTCAGCTATTGCACTGACAATCGCCAGAACTTCAAATAGACAACTCAATATGTCATGCATGTCCAGTTTCAACACTATTATCATTCAGTGCTGCTAGGTGTTATTAATGTACAAATTAAACCTGCATGCACAGAACTACTGATGAAGCTGAAATGATTTGACATTTTTAGGTTGCAATCTCAACAATGAATTTAACATTACTATATTCAATGTTGCAAGATATCATCTACCAATTATATGCATATACTTAGAATTATAGATAAAGCGGCATGCTTAATGCTATTTCCAGCAACATATTGCATTGTATATTATCCCATGTCACCATAACAAAGCGAGTTAAGCTTTAAGCATTCATGTGTTTTACAACAAGTCCACTAAAGATGGAACACATAATTTAACTGTCCGGAATGTGCAGAACAGAGGAAGTTTCGTGGAATGTAAAACCGTAGCAGAAAATATAAAAGCATATACTTCTATGCTCAGATTCTTGGGGGACAGTTCTACTCTCATATTTGATAAAAATTAGTGATATTTCAAGAGAGCAATGCGGCGTGACTTACTTCTTGTAAATGTTTTTCAAGAGTTTTGATCTTTGTATCTGCTTGACTCTGATCACGGATCATATCAGCTCGAAATTCACCAATTGAACGTTCAAGTTTGTAGCAGTATATCTCCAATTGCGACAAGCGTCCACTGATTCCCTCGAGATGATGGAGTAGATTGTCAGCATACTTCTTCATGCATTTCTCAACAGCGTCTATTATTTCTTCTTTGGGATACTCATCTTGTTGGCCATAAACACTAACTAACTGTCTTTCTGTTCTGCTTTCATGGAAATGCTTCGCAAGGGAAAAAGACAATGATATAGTTTGTTAGAGTAATATAAATATGATACAAATAAATAGGGTAAACTAGCTGATGAACACACTATTCCAAGATATAACCGTAGCTACTGTCATATTGCTCTGTTCTTACTTCCAAGAAAAAAAAAGTTGAACGCATCAGGAATTAGGCGTAATCCCTGGCATTGCCAAATACTACCAAATGTTTTGTTGGCCCAAGTCACAGCATGGATTCACGGAAACCTCACATATAACAAGAAGTAGGACCACAAGAACTGGGTGGATTCATGTGCCTCTATCAGTAAACACCAAACACGAAACAGAAGCGAATTTGCCCACAAACAGTATTTCCTCAAACAGATGCTTAGTTTGGATTCAAGATGCAAAAAAATGTTCTCTCAACAGTTTGAATTAGATAAGTCCTTGGTGCCTGGATGGAAATTGTGATTATTGAACCTAGGGAGGGTATGCTATAAATGAAACCTCGCTACCGAAATACGTGCAGCCAAATATACCGTGAACGCACATTCAAGATGAAGACAAGAGGATTTTGAACACAAGAACTTACCAATACTGGTTTAAGTAACCGAACCATCATCTGCATGGTTATTCAATATAGACAACAATGACTATCAATTACGATGATAGTGCCAGTTGGCTGCTTCTCATCAAAGACACAAACCAAAAAAATCAACTCCAATACATTAAAGGTTCTCAAAGATGTAGCTAACAAAGATATCTCAAAAACCCACCTTGCTCTTTTATCAGCAGGATCTAAAAATGTCATTTTTATGCTGCTGGCAGCTAAACCTACAACTAAACACCAAGAATAACATCACATCAACAAAAGTCGCCAAACAGACTTCTCTAATTTCCCCTTTTTCTTGACAAAAATTAGAGTTTGTGCCTTTTACTCCCGAGTCATAAAACACAGATTTACAAAAAAGAAAAGAAAAAAAGATTCACTAAGCCCCAGATTGCAACATCACCCAGCTTCGATCTATATCCATTCAAATGCAAAATACGTTTCAATTTGCAGTAAATTGAACAATTAAAAGAGTAACCCCTTCGATCAAAAAACACCAAAACAGCAAGAAACAAGATGTTACCTTTGGCGTCGGATCCGATCGCTTCCCATTTGATGGATCCCGGTTGCTGTAGTCATCGTAAGAACAGAGCACGTCGTCGGAGGCGAAATCGAACGATCTCGGCCCTGACGAGGTTCGGCCTGAAGATCCACCCGAAGCCATAGAGATCAGATTCAAGGATCGAAGCTAGGGTTAGGGTTTTCTATCGCCCTTCTTTTTTTTCCCCTCACTTTCTTCGCCAGCAAGAGGAGGAGGCTAAGCAATTGACGATTAGCTCATACGCTTATTAGAAGCGGTTGCTTTCGTCTTGGATTCTTTTTTGAGCTCACACATTTCCTATTGGGAATTTATCGGCATTTTACCCCTTGACTTTTTCTGATATTACAAACGAACCTCTCGTTATAAAATATCTGCGTCTGCGGTCCTAATCATGACAAATATAAAAACTACAAACAAATAAATAAAAAGAAATAACTACAAAGTAAAAAAATAAAGAGTTTTTGTTTTATTTGAAGTTTTATTTTTTCAACTAGAAACATTTGTGCTGTTTTCAATGAATTAACTAATCTTTGAGATCTAGCAATAAAATTTGAATCAAAATTCAACCCTTCCGCATCATGAGGCGTATGTATACTGAGAAGTACTGAATTCATACAAAACCAGACGGTGGAGATGGGTTTTGCATTTTGCGGAATGACGAGGAATCATGTGCAAACTTTTATTTTATTAATTTAAAGGGTGTTGCTACATGGACGGACAAGGCATAGGACAAGTGATATGTCATCATCCGGTTGCATGATGTACTATTCATAAATAATGCATCATGTAACCGGATGGTTACATCTTACCTGTCTCATGCCTTGGATCTCTATTTGGGTGCTCGAGGTAATTTAAAACGTGTTATCGCTACCGAAAGCAAACATCGAGCTGTTAAGACTGAAGGCCCAAAATTTTAAGTTGTGCCTCAACTTCACAGTTTCGTTTCGGCAGAAGCGGTAATGAGACAACGCAGGTTGACATTCTAGAATCGCGGTGAGGGCAATAGTTACTTAAGTTAGAATGTGCCAGAGGGATAGCAGAATGAGGGGCACGTGACGAGTTTTTTTTTTTTTTAGCGGTACAGGTTGATTGGTCGGTGCGGATAAGATCGGAGTTGGGGCCACCCATTATCTTTACACGTATGCACGGTGACGATCGGGTATCAAGTGTACGGTCTGCTGCTCTGCAGGAAGGCGTAGGGTTGTCTGGTTCTCATCGTAACGTTGAGTCTTACGAGCAGAGCCAGAGCGTGTTGACTAATCAAATGGCGTTGCTACTTTTGTTTAGGCAGCGAGTAACACTAGCTTTTAGCCCGCATGCGGTGTGGCGGAGGGCATTGTTTATGGAAGTGTATCTGTAGCCAAATTAATAGTATGGATTTTGTATAAAATTATTCATCAAAATCTAAGGGGCTGTTTACATATGTTAACTTCGCACGGGAAAAAAATGGGACCCATGAGATCAAAATCTTGAATTTTATCTAAATACATTGTTTGGTTAGTATTTTTTTATCGAAAAATTGAAGCTACCACATAGGATTTAATGTATCAATTCTAATTTCTTAAAAAATGCTGATTTCACTCTGATTTTTACCGAGGCTTATACAAAAATTCAAAAAGGAGTGATATTATGCTATATTATCCTCAACAAATTCATGTTCAACCAAACAAACTAATTTCTGCTTAGATTTGTCATTCATCAAATCCTCTTCAATATGCATGCAAACAAACAAGATTATGAATATGATTTTTTATTAAAATTTGTGACATATGCATCAAAACTAATCCATGAACCAAACAACCCCTTAGTGATAATTTTTTTATTACTATTTATAGAGTGAATCTCTATACAAGTTATCAGAATAATATATTAATTAATAACTTTTATCAATTTTCTTTAATAAATCAATATATGCAAGGGGAAAAAATTCAAAGATTCAAAATTTACTATAGCAGGAATAGTGTCATTTATGTTTTTAAAATTTATTGCAGCTAGAAGAGGAGGATTTGATATTCTAAATTGTATTGCAGTAAGAATAGTGTTCACCGTAGCATGAATAGTGATTTTAAGATGTTGTTTTAATTAAAAGTACTAGATATATATTAAAAGAAAAGGAATTGTTATGGTGTTCCCATTTCGTCAAAGCGCAATTCATTGCCAAGCAACGGACGAGTGTACTTCTGCATACAATGCCCCAATCAGCTTGGCGGCCTAGGCCCAGCGAGGATTCCGACTTAGCCACCGCCTCTCAGTGGTTCCGACACCTGTAAAGCAGGTGCTGACGCAGTCGCCAACCCACACTTCGCCACCGCCTCTCAGTGCTCGGCCGAAGTGACCAATCTACCTTTACATCTTTAGTATAAATAAAGGTACTATTTCAACTTGGACTGAACCTTTTTTGGATCTTCTTCTTTATCTAATCTGATATTCAGTTTTCTCTGCAAATCATACTGCACACACACAAGAACTCTCACAGTTCTTATTTACCCCACTCAAGTTCACTAGTTGACTTGATCGTTGGAGGAACCACGGGGGAACCAAGCCCCATCCTCTCACGAATTTTTACACGTGCAGATTTTTCAGACATTCAATTCAAGAACCATATATAAAGTCGGGGAAGAAAGCGGCTCATCATCAATCCCCAACAAACTCATCCAAACATAGATATAACTGAGTGTGTGATCACTCAACATCAATAGGAATATATATACATCTACGCTTAGCTGACTTCTTAATTCTTTGAGATATATGGCATGTTTGGCTAATACTTATTTCTTAAATCCTTATAAGCTTCTTATTACTTATTTCATTAGAGGGCAAAGTAGTCTTTTACTATAAATAGTAAATCCACTTATAAGTATTCAAAAAATAAGTTGGAATTTCCCAACTTTAATTTGGTTACTTATAAGTAAAAAAAAGTAAATAAGTAACAATTAGCAAACATGATTTTGGATCTTTATAAGGTAAAACTCAATTATAAGTTAAAATAAGTAACTTGCCAAACATGCACATTAACTATCGAGAATAATGGGAGTACAAATTTGTTAGTCTGACTTGGTCTTGTGTGACCAAATCAACGCTTCTCAAGTGGAGAGAAACGTGGGATATGTGGTTTGTTGAGAGAAAATCTCTCAGAGGCAGTTTGAGGGGGGTGGAGATGATGGGATTTATGGCCTATATAAAGGAGTGTAATCTACTTATAGAAACACAACGAAAAAGAAAAATCAAGCCCTCTTACCCATTACCGGAGCCCCCCTCAACGAAATCTATTCTTTTCTCTTCTTCTCTGTGATCCTCTCTTCAAACTTGTCTATTTGTAGGAATTCAGGAGCAGATCTTCTTTTTAGCTACTTGTATTGAATCCTCTTATTTGCAGGGTTTATACTGGAGGATTACAATGACCATAATTGTTTATAATTTTTGAATCATTAATGTTATATTATAAAATTATAACCATCAGTCTTCACTATAGGTTTGAAATTTTGATATCCAAAGCAACTAATGTTTGAATGCTGTTGGCTACAAATTAGAGGCAAGACAATTATGATGACATCTTGAGATCGTCCATTAAACCGAATGAACAGCCACAAGCAAGTGGATATGTTCTTGATCTTGAATAAGGAAATTGTAAGATCGGAAATTCTCTAGAATTGAACTCAATCTCATACAGTGTCACACGCTGGGATCTCGGACAAGGAACTAACCTAAATACTGATTCACACATAATTTCATTTCCCAGTGTGCATATCACAACATAAGGTCAAATCAAAGATGTACGATACATAAATACATCCACATGAAAGAGAAAGAACAACTTGGGATGCGATTAAAGAAACAATGCCACTTCTCTTATATATTAGCTGTCTATCAATATGAACCTTTATCAAACAAGTCAAGTTTGTCTTCTTTCTTTTATAATAAAAGCACAAAAGCCATTAGGTAGGGTCTGCTCTAAAAAGGTGAGAAAACAATCCCAGTTTTAAGAAACACTTTTGCCCTAGCAAGTTTCATACGCTATGCACATAAAGATTAAAGAACAATTAAATGATACTCACTACCTTGAGAAAAACATGCCAAGTCCCCACACAAAATGCAAATTGACAAATTGTATATAGCTAAATGTTTGAGTTGTCATGGAAAGGAGTAGGAAGAATGGATGTGGACATGATTCCATAAAAGTTCCAAGGGTGGGTGGTTTTTTTTCCTCTTTTTTTGGTGGTGGGTTTTTTTTTTTTTTGTTGTTGTGTATAAGCATGAAGCCCTACCATAGTTCGCACTGTGTTCAGTGGACAACATCTTAGTCATGGGAAGTAAAGGCGATGCCTCCGTAGTTCAGAGAGTTTTGCGTTAGGAGGGGGGGAAAAGGAAATCCAATTGTTTCACTTTTAGTAATGTTTGCAAGCCTACTAATTGTGAGTGAACATATGGGAAATAAGCTGGAAGTGTAAAGAGTAACAGGAAAACGATCACCTGAAATATTTTGATTTTTTTTTAAAATTTCCAACACTTTTTTTTCAAGAACTGAAATCAGCTTAGACAATACGCTGTTAGTTTGAACTACTTCTCTGGAGGGGACGTTACCAATAATCTTGGCAAGAACAATTTCCCTCCTTAAAATGATGGAACCTATGCTTATCTCTAACAATGATCTCTCTATCTGTAACAATAGAAATGAACTTGATAGCCAAATGACAATCACTGCACATCCTTAGATTCTTCACAATCCTAATCAAAGTCCCATCCTTAGTATTCATGATCCCAAATGCAACAGCCAGCTTCTCACTATGAAATCTAAGCGCAACCTCCCTCTCTTCATCTTCCAATTCGTGCAAAACCGAGTCAGTTTCTGGCACATATCCTGCCTCCTTGATTTTATGGACCAATTCCTCCAACAATTTATAAACTTCTGCAGATTTTGGGTGCAAAGTATCGCCCATTCGAAACACATGAACTACATGATCAATCTCTATCGAGCTATATCCAGTTTGCTTCTTCAAACGTCTATGGATCATCACGTTCCTAATTTTCTCAACTTTATCCATCTTACCCTTTAACGCGTAAATATTTGATAATAGCACATAATGACCAGGGTTTTCGGGCTCAACTGCTAGAAGTCTCTCTGCTACTTCGACTCCTAGATCGAAATCCTTATGCATTTTGCAAGCACCAACCATCGCGGTCCATACAACGGGTCCTGGCTCCCCTGATATATAATCGCGAATAAATTGCATAGCTTCTTCTAACATTCCAGCTCTTCCATACATATCAACCATACAAACAAAATGTTCGGTTCTAGGAACCAAACCGTAATCTCTCTTCATGCACTCAAAAACCTCACGACCTTCGTTCACCATTCCAGCATGAGCACAAGCCGATAACACTGCCACAAATGTTACATCATTTGGCGACGGCCCACTATGCCTCATACTAAGGAACAGCTTGACTGCTGATTCTCCATACCCATGCATCCCATACCCAGCTATCAACATTCTTTTCTTGAAGCCCATCAAAAATCTCTCGAGCTCTCTCCACATGCCCACATCTAGCATACATATTCACCAGCGACGTGCCAAGCACCACATCAACATCAAAACCCTTGTCCAAAATATACCCATCTGCCCACTTACCCAAACCCAACGAGCCAGTCTGCGAACAAGCGGCCAAGACCCCGACCAAAGTCACCGAATCAGGCTCAACCCTCTCCCTCCTCATCTCAACAAACACCTCAATCGCCCTATCAGCAAACCCATTCTGCTCGTACCCAGAAATCATCGCATTCCAAGCAACCACGCTTCTCTCAGGCATTTTATCAAACACCAATCTTGCGCATCCAAGCTCCCCACATTTCGCGTAGAAGACGACCAATCCGGTCTGAACATAACAGTCGGAGCCAAACCCAGCAGTGACTACCTGGGCATGAACAATTCTGCCGGCACCCGAAGCCGATACATCGGCGCAAGCTTTGATTACAGAAGTGAAGGTGTAATTTGACGGCGGGAGACGATGAGAGCGCATTTGGGTGTAGAAGAGGAGGGAGTGGATGGAGAAGTGGGATTTGGAGGAGGCTCTGATGATGGAGTCAAAGAGGAAGGCGTCGGTCTGCGGCCAGCTTGGCCCCTGTATAGTCAACGACACAGAAGAGGTGGTGCGTCTGACGTGGGCGTAGAGGAGCGAGCCGGGGGATGGTGACGGTGAGGAGTTTGGTGAGGAGGGAGAGGAGCGTGGAGGCCGGAGACGATGAGTGGCAGTGGACTTTGTTGAGAGGAAGGAGGCGGCGCCCGGCGGCGAGGAGGACTGCGGTAGGACTGGAGTGAGTGATAGTGAAAGTACTATAAGCGGTGGCGTTATATTAAGGAGTCATACAGAGACTATTTTTGGTCGGAGCCAGTCCGAGATATGGGAGCTTGGAGTGGTAATATAGGATGTTGTATATTGTGGATATATATCCGAGACTCTCATTTATATATATATGGCTACGTAGGAGGGCATGAGGTAGTGCTAGAGGACGATGCTATAAGAGCCATATATATGAAATTGACTGCTTTTAGCTAGAATAGTAGGTTTGTAATTGTAATCATTCGTACATCGGTATTATTGTTCACTCGGAATGTTAACCGCACGTATAGAAACGACCTTATATAGTTACATGAAACCATCTTTTAATTTTAATTTATACGTAAACTACTTTTAAAATGTGTTTTTGTCGCAATCAACCCCCTCCAAGTCAAATTTTTTTGAAAAATCTGAAGATAAGGTTAAAAATTAAAGTTCAGGTTACGTGAGTTGTACGCTCACAAGACCTAAACACTAAAAAAAAAGTGTCATGTGCCTTGAACGAGGTTAATTTTAGATTTTTAGTGAAAATTTTGGTTAGAAGATGTTTGATTGCAATAAAAACTTATTTTTAAGATGGTTTATGCATACATGGAAATAAAAAAGTGGTTTTTTTGTATAATTATCTTGTTTTTAATGTGGTTTCTAGGGAGAAAAAACCTAAATGGTCAAGTGCTCACGCAGAAAAGATACTTATCTTCCTCCATGCACTCTTTGCTTGTCAAACGGGTGTGATTATATGTTAGATGTGGATGCAAATGCATATGCTAGAAAAATGTACTAGATAGGCGAGGATAGCCTTTCCTTGCATGGAGCAAACATATGAGTATTCTTTTCTCTGCTATCAAACATATGCGGTGGCAGAGCTAGAAACTTTTTGTTAGAGGGGCAAATGATAATTATCTATTTACATAAATGAAAATGAGCTACTAATTTCAAATAGGCCGAATGAAAACGAGCAACTAGCTTGTAAATGTCTAATGTAAATTGGTCGAAAATTCAAAGCGGGTGCAAAATTTGACAACTATCTTAATTGCAGGAGGCATTAAGATGTAATTTGTAGATTGCTAAGAGCGCAACTGCGCCCCTAGTACACACTATGCATCCGCCCACGAACATATGTATGAATTCGTGGTGTGATCGAATTGTGTTCATTGAATTTAGGGTCTGGACTTTATCAGATTGAACACAGCATGCGATTGCCGAGTCATGTGCCCTTCGTTGGAGTTGGAGACGCATGTGTAATTTTTCTTGTAGTCCTTATTAATGATAATACGTAATGCACGAAGTTCAGTCACCGAATCAGGCTCAACCCTCTCCCTCCTCATCTCAACAAACACCTCAATCGCCCTATCAGCAAACCCATTCTGCTCGTACCCAGAAATCATCGCATTCCAAGCAACCACGCTTCTCTCAGGCATTTTATCAAACACCAATCTTGCGCATCCAAGCTCCCCACATTTCGCGTAGAAGACGACCAATCCGGTCTG